CATACATACACTTACATTGTATCGTGGGTTCCTTGAATTCCCCGACTTCCTTGACTTCAGTGACGTCCGTGACTTCTTTGATTTCCCTGAGTTGCTCGGGGTCCCAAAGTTCTTCGGAGTCCCTGACTTCCCTGAGTTCCTTGGATTCCCTGAGATGCTTCCCGTGCTTTGGTTTCACATCGCTCGTTGTCGCTTATTTATTTTTGAGTTCCCAATTCTCGAAGAGTTTCCGACTTCTGGGAACTTGGCCACGTCTCATACTTAGTCATAGATTTTGTTGGAAAATCAATGTAACAAATCTGTGAAATAATAGTAGTTGTTAGATGTAACCATGGTTCAATGTTATAATTAGAGTTGAATGCGATAACTAGGGTTGAATGTTATAAGTAGAGTTGAATGCGATAACTAGGGTTGAATTTTATAACTAGGGTTGCAGGTTATAAACAGGGTGAAATTTTATAGCTACGGTTGAATATTACCACCGAATTAACTTTTCGACCTAGAAGTTCATCGATTATAACGCAAAAGTTATAACTCGAATTATAAATGAGGCAGCTTTAGCCCCCATAGTAGTAAATGCTCCATAGGATATCAACATGTTACAAATTTATGCTAACTAATATGTTAGAGCTCATTTATAATGGCGTAGCTATTGTTAGGTCACGAATGAAGAGTAGGGGTGAACCATTTAATTTAATGCGAGTTAATTAACGTTTTTAGTTAATGTTAATTTTAAATTAACATAAACGTACCACCTCTAATGAGGAGCCGAATTATTTTTTATGTGCCTGCTGTTTTGCAAAAAGTTAAATATGTGTGGCATTGCAATTTCTGCGAATCACTTTCTTTTTAACTTACAATAGTAATAGAAGGTTGAAAAGCAATAGTATTACCTGACACCATGCTTGTTGTCATGCTAGTAGTTGTACTTATCACTTCATCAGTTGTCGAGCCTAATAATTAGATTCAAACAGTTATTGGTTCATATAAAATAGGCAGCATCGCAGTGAAAAAAAAGCATACTTGTTCCAGTTAAAATTATTAGCAATTAGGGCTCGACTTATCACGAGACTCATCAAAATCCACTTACACTAAATGTCAGGGTATAAATACTGATCCATAAATTGCAAGAGAATTCCCAGTTTCTGTTGTGAAAAAGACTCGCCTGCATCACATGACTAACATTTAATTTCCTTAACGATTAATAAAGAATATAAATAGTTCGGACTCTAAATCGGCATTTTATGATTGTAGCTAACTTCCTTGATTCTCATGATTGTTTCAGATTTTTTGAGTATGCCAATGGGTCTTCGTAAATCTTGAAAACAACTACTATCTTAATTAATGTGGAGAATGATGGCTTCGTAGAAAACGAATGCATTCGCATGTTCCCACCTCTTGTTCTGCGTGCTGCTTGAATATTCTTCAAATAAAACTATAGTTGCCAACACGATTCTTTTAAATGATTTGATCGAAGTTTAGGGAAATACTTACACAACACTGTAAAGAAATCGATGAACTTTCTTTTTTTTCATAGGCTGTTTATAATATAGCTTATCTATGAGTTATCAAGAACAAACAGCTTGATACAGCATGTAAAAATATAGACTCCTAGAATACGCAGAAAATAATTACTTGATATAGCTGCTTCAACTAATTTTGTCGATTCCTGAATGGATGGTAACTGTAGAAAATAGAAGGTACTGTTCACATTGTCGATCATGTGAAAGGTTGGAGAGTTAAGATACATGTCTATAGTGAAAATTTGACAAGTGACTCGGTTGCTACTATAAACATAGCAATTCAATGAGACAATAGAATTGTTTCCAGTTGAATTGAACATTTTACATAAACATGTTTGGCATGACGACTCCTCCACTGTTATGTTAAAATTGGATAAGATCAGAGAAGCATTGCCAATAATGCCCACAAGCGATGCATCGATACAGCTAGCAGCAATGATATATGGAATCATTAGAGCAAGAAACATCGTGTATCTCTATAGATATGAAAGTGTTAAATCTGAAAATGTCAATTTGTTTACTGAAAACTCTACTTCCGATTGGTAAACAATAGAATACATTTCTTTAGAGAAAAAATCCGAATCTATTGAATACATTAAGATAAACGGGAATAAATGACAAAATAAAATGGTCATTACGCATTCAGTAGTAAAGCAGCAGATATTTGTTCAGTCTCTTTGTTGATTATGGCCCTCGGTTTGCTATTCGGATTCAATTCTTTACTTTGACAGAAAAAAACAGTAGTGTCAAACTTGAAACTTGAATTCAGTTGAAAATAGAAAATTTCAACTTTCAACGTAAGACGATATATGTGTGAGTCACCATTCTTCAGAATGCTATTGGTTTAAAAGTTGAAAATTTCAATTTTCAATTGAATTCCAGTTTCAAGTTGGATATATATATGTATTTTAGTGAACTTTTAATTGATTTCATTACTGATGGTAAGGATGTTAGTTTGACTTTGAGTATCGTTTCAATCTCATCCACAACCACCGTCCTGATTTTGGCAAGAAAGCTTATTATCACAGTTCCTTTTTGGGTGAAAATGTAGAGCTCACATAATTATTAAAAGTTAAAATACTGAAGAACTGTAAAACTGCTTAGTTACTATAGTCTTTAATGAGGATCTTTGTTGCTCTTGTCTTCATTCGACAGGGGGAATCGTCAAACCTTAGACTTAGAACTGACATTCCTTATTTTCTTCGATAGAATATTTGAATTCCACAAAATCTTTCTGCTAATATTCTGATTATTGAGAAAAAAATCTTTTGATTTGTAAAATGTGAATATGATAAGCTTGAGATTGAATAAATTTCAAAACGTCCCTATTGTTACATAACTAATAGAAGCCAATTGTTAAATCTCGCTGTTGATTACTTTTTCGACCTTTCTTCATAAGTAAAACTTCGCTCAAATATATGACCTTCCTGGAGAAGCAATGCATTAGACGTAATTGTGCCGATATTGATGGCACTCTTCGATGGTTCTCCTTTCTTCTCTTTCTGTTCTCTTTCCATTGTTCTAGTATATATGTTGGGAGCAGAATTGGAATCCGGTCAGATTCTAAATTTGCCCGGGCAAAATTGGGATTCTAATTTCTTCTGTAATTTTGATTGGTCAAATAATGCAATATTCTAATTTTGCCCGGATCCCAATTGTGCCCCCAACATATATATATATATCTCCTGTCTCTCCTATCTCTCTCCTATATATATATATACGTGCATTATGTATGAAGTTGTTACACTCTGGATATGTGAAGAAGCGAATAAAAATCATCGCCGAGGGTGGTGGTAAGCTACTCCACCTCAATCCAGTTCGTCTTAACGTATCAACTCCAAAACGGTCGCATTCATCGTTACAGTAATAAAACACTTAATTTGAATAAAAATTAATGCTTTTGAAAAATTTCAACTTTAACCAGCATAGTTACATTAAAATAGGATTTCATTTTAGCGTTTCGACTTGAAGATATTAAAGGCTGAGATCAGCATTTTTTCTGGATTCTTAAAACTTAAAAAGAACTCTTTCAAAAACCTTCCATTGCCTCAGAATTTTGCGCGCTTAACATGGATTAAAATTCAAAGATCTTTTGTGGCAATGAAGTGGAAGGGGTGAAGTTTAGTCTTTTTCTATTTTGTAACTAAAATGAGTAGGCAAGCATTGATTAAAAAATCTTGCGACTATTTTGTTTCATTATCTCTAGACCAGAAATGCGCATTTACAATTATTTCCTAAAGCAACCGTCGGTATTTCTCAGCATGTTCAGAAACTTTGCCTATGAGTCATTGCTGTTCTCATCAGAAATCAGCCCTCTTGTCTTTGAGATATAACCAAGGCGAAAACATCGTACTTTGAGGAGTCAAAGTACAAAAGTACATAAAAGTATCCCGAACTACTTGGAAGTACCTCGAAGTACTTCAAAGGGTGTGGGTCGGCGTGGGTCCGGGTCTACAGTGTAAAAAAAATCCACAGAATAATAAACAGAAAAACAGTTTTTGATAGACTATTTAACAAAAAAAGGGTTTATAAAAGGGCAACGTATCATAAACCCTTTTTCCCGTATATGACGAAGATAATAAACGGTTTTTAGGTTTATCAGATTTTTCAAAAACGAAAAAAAGGGTATATGACACGTTGCACTTTCATAAATTCTTTCTTTTTAAAGTGTAGGTCTGGGTGTGGATGATACTATGGGGGAAAGAAAAACGTCCACACCCACAACCTCCCCTGGCGCCCCTATAATCTCTAGAATCCCTCAGTTCCCTTGGGATGTTTTAGTTTATTGTAACTGACTGTTGCTTGTTGATTTTTGATTTCCGAATTCCTAATGAGTTGCCGACTCCAGGGAACTTGGCCAGGTCTTTGATAACAAATCGCGATCGAAAAAAGTTATTGTTATTAATAACAACAAGATAATAAAAAGTGCTCACTCCTATTTGAAAATGTCTACTGTATATCGTTTAGGGGTGCATTTGACTAAATGGAAAACATGCATGGAAAAGTTGTTGTAACTTTTGATTCATCATTCTTTATAGCTTCCTTTCCGAGAAAAAATATTGGAAAGTATTAAAAATTAAAAAGATACTCCTTCGGAGTAAAAAGGAAGCAACAACTTTCCTTTCCGAAAGAAAATATAGGAAAGTAGGAAAAATTTAAAAGATTCTTTCCTAGAGAAAAGAAAGCAAAAACTGTCCTTTCATTACCTTTCTGAAAGTAAAAGGAAAGTGCTACTTCAAATAAATAGTGTGGGTGCGTGGGAGTGGATATGATTTTACTTTAGGGACCAATTACACCGACACCCACACCAACACTCACACCCTTTGATCGACTTGATTGTACCTGTTTCGAAGTCGGTCAGGATCGTCTCGGGATGAAGATTGTCTTGATCTAATACTATTTTGAAGAAGTCATTGTAATCATTACCACTTTTTCCAATTACTAGACCATACACAAGTGGAATAATCGTTGACGTGATCAATGCATGAAGCGTAAACAGCTGATAAAACTCATAGGGGCATACCTAAAGAAACGTTAATTAATCGTGAAAGAGAATTGGCTAGTCACATACTTTAAATGTTCCATCAGCAACCAATGTTTGGAATGTTTCAACGCTGATAAGTTAGCTTTCGTAGAGAAAATAATCACATATGCCTCTTCATGCAGGAGAAAGTCTTCAGCACGATAAGTTTTCTTTAAATCGTCAGATAAACCATCGGTGGATGTTGCTGCTGGTGTCTGGCGCTGCCTGCAAATGGTTTGCATAATTATTTCAGTACGAGGCAATTCGCTTGCTGCATTCAACGGAAACGTTCGTAAAGCTGAGTGGAGGATGGAACTCGTTGATTCATCAGATGTGGCGGCTTGTGCTTTTATCTGATTATTAAGTTCAATTACCGCGATGCATTCAGGGTTAGGGACATGGTTGTGATCAGTTGGTTGAGAAAGAAAAATATCCATTGACAAATTTGTATTACATCGAGCTAGAAACAATGAAAGAATATATTATTTTCTTCATTCTTATAACTAATTACCTTTGCAGTCTCTGTTTTGATAACGAAAAGTTATCTTTGCTGTTGTAGATTTTTCCTTGGTGTAGATATAACCCAGGTAAGAAACCATAGGTTTTCCCTTTTCCGGCAAGAGCTTTTGAACAGAAGACATTCAGGGAGTTGAGTCGACAAGTGATGATTGGAAGAGTATTACTTTTATCAACCAAGTGATCTTCTTTATACATTTCAGGCTTAATTAGTTGATTCTTAATGAGCTTTGACTTAGATAGATATTGTTCCATTTTATTTTTCAAATCCAATTTATCTTTTATTTTTTTATTAAAATAATCTCATTGACAACAAAGCAGAACAAAGTTCATTTAATCCACTAAAATTCATCAATAGAGAAGCAAATTCGATCTTTCTTTGAGAAATGATTTTTTTTTTTTTTGGTAAAATATAACACAGTTACAAACAATCAATTGAAAGAAACACGCGACGGATTGAGTGCACGACAAATTAAATGCGCGGCGAATTCAGTGTCGACGAAAAGAACACGACGAATTGAATGGCGACGAATTGACATAGTGCCGAAAAAATAAGCTGTTTTTAGAAAAAAATGTCGATTTCTTCTCAACTTTCACTTTCCAAAAATGGTATCCCAAACCTCTCCTTCCCAGTCCATTCAATGTATTCGTTTTTTTGTTTGTTTGAAAGAGCATCTTGAGGCGCAGGGCATGACGTTGCTTTTTTTAAAATTAGGTCTTCGTTTGGTCAATATACAGCCAATTATATGATTTTACTAGCATTTTTTGACACTTTTTTGAGCCACTGAAGTTGTGATCCATTTTTTGCGCTTAAAAATGGACTATTTCAAAAAAGGGCAATGCCATTCCCTGCGTCTTGAGATACTCTTTCCAACAAAAAAAAATATTAATATATTGAACAAACCAGGACCGAGATATTTGGGATGCCAAATGAGTCATTTTTAACCCATATTTGACTCATATCTCCCTGAAACCTAAAGATTTCTGGCTGAAAGTTTTATGGTAGTGTTCCCTTTCTAGGGTCAACATATCCTGAAACTTTCATCTATTTTGGATATTCCTGGGTTAAGATCGAACTTTGAGGAGGGGGGGGGCTTAGTATTTTAATTCCTAAATATTAAGTCATTTATTCGACTTATTTCAAAATCATACGTATAATGTCAAAAGATATTAAATCAGTGAACAACATAATCGTATCACTCGAAGTCAACGTGTCTGTTGATCAATGTATTTAAAAATTGAACATTATAATGCTTGGCACTACATCTGCGTTATTCAGGGTAGAAACGTAGGACGGTTATAGCGTTAATGTATTGCTGAAACCAAGGGGAAACAGCAATCTGCGATTTTGTGATTTAAATTGATTTAAAATGATTTAATTTTGATTTTCAGATGATTTAAATCAGTTGTTTCCCCTTTGGCTGTTACAGTATTGTGTTGCATAGAGCGCTATTGAAATTGTAATAACAGCGTCGTAATGTTGTTCAGTAACGCCGCTTTATACCGATTTGGTGCTATGATGGCGTTTCTTTAAAAAAAGTGACGAGATATGCACACACTCGTATGATGTCAACAAGCAACGGGAAGTTCACTGACTACTGACAGAAAAATATTTACTATAAAAAAAAAGTTGTCGCAGCATTGATTTTTTTCTTTCGCTCTTTTAATTGTGCTATTGTAAAAGTTAAAAGCAAATAACTTCACAATATTTTTCTTATTCCTTCTGCTTTGAGTTTGCTCGATCAAATTTGACGAAAGAAAAATCAAAGCATTGTTTTTTGTTGAAGTGAAATGCATAAATTAAACCATGTTGCTGTATAAGTTTCACTTCTTCCGTATTGATTGCAGAGTATAAACGACTTCCCTTAACTTTTTGAGATTCATGATGGTTTGCTCGTTCGGGTAGGTTATCATTTGCCCCAAATTGAAATCCCCAAATCGTTCCCCGAAAAAAATCCCCAATTGGGGATGATAAAACAATTCTGGTAACCAAATGGGG